GTTCGAATTTGCAGCATTGGCAGTAGTACTCGTCTTCGCCTATCGAGGCTCTGACGAAGTAGTTCCTTCCTTTGTCCGCGTCTTCAGGTTCTGAATCTGACATGCCCAAAATAGAACACACCTTGAATGTATGTTCATCCACCCGGAAAGCCGTGAACATGCTGGCACGCTTTATTTCTTCCTGGAATCTGCAAGTTTTGTGTGTTTTCTGTTAAACTTTCGTGCGATCTTTTTCTTGTACACCCTTATGTTGTCATGGAAATAGAAATACATTTTGTTTGAACATGGCAAACATAGTTCATTGAACATGGCAAATATATTACGTTGAACATGGCAAATGCAGTACACTACACATGGAAAATGCATTACAACATACATGGCAATTGCAGTACAACAGACATGGCAATTGCAGTACATTTTCAACTGGATATCGTCATTTCCACACCAACATTCCCCAATGGAAGCACATTGCATAAAACATGGCAACTGTATTTTTATTAAACATGGCATCTACAGCTGAGTAAACATGTCAATTGCATTTCAAAAAAAAGGGCAGATGCATTTCATTAAACATGGCAACTGCATTTCAGCATATGTGTCGCCAATATAACATTTTTTTAGCATTTTTTGACATTGGCATTTGCATGCCAACATGCTCCAATGGAAGCATAGCGCATAAAACATGGCAACTGCACTTCATTCAACAAGGAAAATGCACCCGAGCAAGTATGCCAAAACAAAATTTTCATTTTAACATGGCAACTGCATCTGAGTAAGCATGGCAAACAGTATTTCATTAAACATGGCAGCTGCATGTCATGGCAACTTCATTGCACTCTATAAGGCCCCTACTGACTTGGTGCTTTTTATGCAAATAAGACTGTAATGCAACTGACTTACTTGTTAAAGATCTTGTTGGTGTATATCTTGCTCATTTGCCTCTCCATCGGTAGATACGTTAGCAATTTTGGCTGCTTTAGGGCTGTGGTCGCTTCTTGCTGTAGCTCAGATCCCAGAATTTTTTGTTGCAAAGCTGTGTACTGCTTGGCAAACTGTAGCAATGAGTTGCCAGGGCTGACGTACCGCTTTAAAACAGCATTGAACCCCTCGCTGCGCTGCGTAGTCTGCAGAAAGGGGAAGAAGCACTGCATGAAGTAGGCCGGCACCCAGTACATTCGCTTCTCTCATAGGCTAACAAGAGTCTCGTTGTCCTGGACTTGATGTGTTTCAGTCATGGCCATCCAGCTCCTTTCAAACTCCTCCACCGTCAAGCTGTGGTCCATGCACAGCTCGAATGCCTTGTGCAACTCTGGACGGTCGGCAAAGAACGGTCCTAGCGTCTCCTCAGCCTTCTTTATAATGTGCCACCTGCAGTGCCTGTGCACTGCCAACGGAAAGACCTCCTCTATGCCTGCACGCATGCTGAAATCTTGGTCCGTTATTATGTTCATCGGAGCAAGTCCATCCATGCACTCCAAGAAGGTCTTGAACAGCCAAACGTACCCATCTGTGTCTTCGTTCCGGATGAGGCCGCATCCGAACTGCAACGACTGATTGTGGTTATTTATTCCTATGAACGGAGCGCATGGCATCTTGTACATATTGGTGAGGTACGTCGCGTCGAATGAAATGCAATCTCGGAAATGTTTGTAGGCTCTCCTTGCAGCACCATCCACCCAATACATGTTCCTGACACGGTCCTCATCGTCCAACCTTATCCTGTAGAAGAAATCTGGATCTTCCTTTGCTTTCGCATCGAAGTAGGCTATTGTGGCCTCTATGTCTGCCAACTTGCTCTCTCTACGGTACTTGGCCTGTAGGTTTGTGACGTCAGCTGGTATGTACGGCATGCTACTCAGAGTCCCCTTTTTGCTGTGGATGAGAGATAGTATCTGTACCATTCTTGATGGACCGACGTTACAATCATGTAGCAGCTTTACGAATTTCCTTTCGACGGGGGTGAACCCTCTGTGGGCGGTCAGAAATTTCACCAGGTCAAACTTCTTTATGAGTTTGTGGTTGTGCTCGTCAAAATACTCATTGACCACCCATGTTGCTCCATCTACGTTTAGCTTACACCGGACAGGGCACCCCGTCTTGAGAATGATGCCTCTCTTTCGTTCCGGAACGACAGGCGCAACACCTTTCCCCTTCTTGTTCCTCCGTGCCTTGTGGCACCTCATCTCACCTCTGCTGTACTCATTAGTTTTCTTAATTTTCCTATGGTACTCGGTGTTGACCGCAAATCCATGGAACTTTGCGTATGCCTGGTAGTATTCCTTTGCTTCTGCGAATGATCCAAATCTCTGCCCAATGTATGGTGGCTGAGGTACCACGATCTCGGATTGCCCACCATCTTCATCCTCTTGTGCGTCGTCGTCAGTTTCATCATTCTCTTCAGTATCGGCGGCAGTTCCATCTACTCGAGTGTTGCTAGTGCTTGTGTTCAAAGGGGTGCTCGTCGGCATTGCTGGAATGATTGCCATTCCCGACTCTGACTCGAAATTGTTTGCGGCATGACAATCTGCTGGCTGGTGGAACGCGTCTTCCGTGCGCTCAGAGCTCCCCGCAGTAGATGTCCCCGCACCGCTGTTCACTGTAGTTGTAGGTTCTGTAATAGAAAAAACAAGCACGAGAGTAAGATTTTTTGGTTGAATAAGATGTGTATCACAACGGATCACACCATCTTCGATTGATTTGGCACGACATTTTTTCAAACAGCAAGCCGTGAGACTGCGTGTGGACATGTGTGGCAGCTGTAGCTGTCCAGTCATGGCAGGTACTGTTCAACAAACATGGCAACTATTGTTTTGCCTACAAAAAACTACAAACAACAAATGTAGTGATGTTTTTTGTGGTTCATTTTTTTCCTTACCTTGTTGTGCTGCATTTGGCCATCTTGTGTGGTCTGTGACACCAAAATGTCGTGCTCCACCTGCAATTTGTGAAGCTTGCCACGGGACGATTGCCGTGTCACCACCAGCATAATACACTGTAAGCATAGTAGTGGTTGGTCAATTCATGGCAATTTGCAGTTTGTGCTAGCACGGCAACTGCAGTCGCCCCTGATGTGGCAACTGCAGTTTTACTGGCATGGCAACTATATTTGCATCGGCATGGCAACCGCAGTTGTTCCTCCATGGCAACTGCAGTTGCGATGACATGGCAACTGTAGTTGCTCTGGCATGGCAACTGCAGTTGTTTCTCCATGGCAACTGCAAGTGTCCACTGATGGCAACAACAGTTGTCCAGGGATGGCAAATGTAGTTTTAAATTCATGGCAATTGTAGAAGTCCAGTCATGGCAATTTGGAGCTGCCAACTATGCCCCTTCTGCTAATTGAACATCCGCAACTTCACTTTTTTTATGGACTGACCTGTGTATGACGTCGATGGCAGGTACATGGGTGCTGGCTGATGCCACGTGCTGCATGAAGGCCGTGCATTTTCACCCGTGATAACTCGTGAGTCCTCTTGCCAGTTTTTTTGCATGTCCATTTTTCACGTCCACAGCAGTATGTTTTTTTTTTGGTTTTGCATTACCTTGATTAGCCATACTAGCTAGTTGAGGTTGGTTGCCCGTAAATATGTCAGTGTTAGCGCCTTGTGACTGAACTTGCCATGGGGCCCCCCTGAGAGTGTTTTGGTCATAAGAACCTACAAAAAAATGGGAGTGTAGGACATAAGTAGAATGTCATCTTCATCGTTGCGAAGTTGGCAACTGCTCTCTTCTTTTTGTTACCACACATCATACCTACGCCTGCATACTGTTCTAGTAGTGGCAGCAACGGCCCTGCAGAGATGAGTTGACTATACTCTACTGCATCCCAAGGCGGTGTTTCTGGCCTTTTAGAACCTCAAGCATTAGCGCCACCTTCGCGATTCATCCTTTCCGCGTCTCGATTCTTTTCCGACATGTTCTCAATCACTGGATGATCAAAAAGGCATCAATAATCCACAAGAATTGTATTCTTCTGCTGCTTGCACATGGAAGATAGGGATGGCAAGCAACAGGTCAAAATAGGTGGCAATTGTCATCATACACAAGCGGCAACTGTCGTTACACACAAGTGGCAATTATTTTTTCCCACCCTCTTCATTCAAAAAATCGTCCTTCCTGCCCTTTTTTAGGGATTCCTACTCATCCATTTGATACCCAACTACTTAAGTGCCTAAACTAGGCACCTAAGTTAACCTCAAACGTAGTACATGGCAGATCTGGTGTATTCTGCCTGGCAATTGCGAATATACACTGAACCATGCAGTGTTCTACCCCTATAGTATGGACCCAGTACAAGATCGGGAGATTTTCAGCCTTAAGGATGAGAGGGAAGGACGAGATCGAGATTTTTCACCTGGTTTTAGTTGATCGTGTCTGGAGGGCTGGATTGGAGTGGGCGGCTGGGGATGGGAAGGGTTATGGTGTGGTTTGGGGTCGGAGCGCCCTACGAATCTGCCCTGGTTGCCATGGCAACCAGGGATGGCCGGCGACGGATGTCGGGGTTCGAGAGGTGGGGGACGATGGCGGCGTACGAGAGATGGGATGGATCGGAGGCGTGGATCGGCTGGTCGTGCGGGCAGCCGGTCTTCTGGTCCGGACGGGGCAGTGCGAGCGGGGTTGCCACACACCGGACGTGCGGGCCGTGCTTTTGTGCACTCGGACGTGGTCGTGCGGGCCGATCCCCGTCTATGCCGCACGAGGCATGCGGGCGGGTTCCTATCGACGCCACACGTGTGGCAGTTATTCGGACCCTAACTTTTTCGTAACAAATCTCTCGCCCCCCTGATTTTCCTGGTGGGGCCGACCAGCGTGATTTCTCAATCCTTCAATTCCACGTCAGTCCGTAACCAAACATCACGTAGAATCTGCGCGTAAGTGTAGCAAAACTCGACCGAACTCCTGGTAGAATCCGGCTCGTCCCTTTAATAGGCCGCCACGACGCCTAGCGCCGAGATTTCTTCCACCATATAAATACTCGAAAAGCGACCGTAACAATCGCCATGGCGATAAATTCGGTGACAATGGCTTCCTCCCACAGCCTCTTCCGCGCAAGCTCCCTCGTCCCTCCCGGTGCCACACGGAGCCGCCGCTCCGATTCCTGCGCCCCTCGCCTCCAATTCACCAAGCACCCCAGATGCAGCGTGCTGAGGCTGTGCAGCGCACGCCCTAGCGCTCCGGCCCTCAACCAGTGGTGGGCGTCCGAGCTCACCCCGGAGGATCTACCCACGGAGGAGACCGACGGGCCGACGACTGGGCACGGCTGGGAGGAGCTGGTGGCCATATGGAACGCGCTCATCGCCGAGCCCCTCCGGCCCGTCCTGCTCGCCTTGCGCGAGATCAGGGACCGCGGCCACTTCTTCCGCTGCCGCAGCTACCACGCCGGGATCGTCGCTGGTATGTATTTATGGACAGGTTTCTTGGTTAATTTTGTACAACTTCTGATGTGAAAGCTTCATTTTTTTTCTTCGTGCGCAATTCGTACTATCCATTGAGTCAAGCTGCTTTCCCCAACCATCAAGCTGCTTTTTTTTTTCTGCGCAATGCAGTCAGGAATCGGCTGATATCCAGCTATTTGTCTCATCTTCTTGTCTCTAATATGCATTTAACAAAAAAAAAACACTACCTCTATAAAAAAATATAAGATCGTTTGATTTTTCAAAAGAAAAGATGACTCCCGGCCTCTACATCTAGATGATGAATGTGGCCACTTTATTAATTATTCTCATAATACCTTACAAAGTCATACAATAGAGGATTAAAGCCGCCGTCTAAGCAACAAACTGTCACAACACCTATTCAGTTGATAAAGGGGCGCAGATAGCCTGAGCCTAATACCAAACAGACATCGCAGTCAAGCCTAACATCTAAGACCTGAGATCCCAACCTAGCCACTTGCCGGGTCTGGAGCACACATTGGTCGGGCGTGCTCTGAAGCCGCCGCCACCAACTGTCATCGCTCCATCTTCAGAACTATACTGATGCATCAACTTTACTCGGTCTAGCTATCGACGACGCCACCACGGTGCTCAACGGCACCTCCTTCCTGCGCGCAAACTTCAAACTGCTTTCCCTCAACCATCAAGCTGCTTTTTTCTGTGCAATACAGTCAGGAAATCGGCTTACTCATTCTACTGACAGCGAGTAGCAGTGCAATCACAGATATCCAGCTATTTGTCTCATCTTCTTGTCTTTAATATGCATTGAACAAACAAAAAAAATACTTTCTCTGTAAAGAAATATAAGTTCGTTTGATTTTTTTTAAAAAGAAGGATGACCCCGGTCTCTGTATCTGGATGATGCATACGACCACTTTATTAATTATTTTCACAAGACCTTACAAAGTCATACAATAGTAGGACTAAAGTCGCCGTCTAAGCAACAAACTGTCGCTACACCTATCCAGTTGATGAAGGGGCGCAGATAGCTTGAGCCTAATACCAAACAGACATCGCAGCCAAACCTAGCATCTAAGACCTGAGACCCCAACCTAACCACTTGCCGGTTCTGGAGCACACGCTGGTCGGGCGTGCTCTCAGAGGCCGCCGCCGCCAACTGTCATCGCTCCATCTTCAGAATTGTACTGATGCATCAACTTTGCTTGGTCTAGCTATCGACGACGCCACCACGGTGCCCAACGGCACCTTCTCCCTGCGTGCAAACTTCAAGCTGCTTTCCCCCAACCATCAAGCTGCTTTTTTCTGCGCAATGCAGTCAGGAATCGGCTTACTCATTCTACTGGCAGCGAGTAGCAGTGCAATCACAGATATCCAGCTATTTGTCTCATCTTCTTGTCTCTAATATGCATTCAACAAACAAAAAAAAGTACTCCCTCTGTAAAGAAATATAAAATCGTTCGATTTTTTTTAAAAAGAAGGATGATTCCCGGCCTCTGCATCTGGATGATGCATACGGCCACTTTACTAATTATTTTCACAAGACCTTACAAAGTTATACAATAGTGGGACTAAAACCGCCGTCTAAGCAACAAACTGTCGCTACACCTATCCAGTTGATGAAGAGGCGCAGATAGCCTGGGCCTAATACCAAACAGACATCGCAGCCAAGCCTAACACTAAGACCTGAAACCCCAACCTAGCCACTTGTCGGGTCTAGAGCACACACTGGTCGGGCGTGCTCTCAGAGGCCACCGCCGCCAACTAACATTGCTCCATCTTCAAAACTGTACTGATGCATCAACCTTGCTCGGTCTAGCTATTGAAGACGCCACCACGGTGTCCAACGGCACCTTCTCCCTGCGCGCAAACTTCAAGCTGCTTTCCCCCAACCATCAAGCTGCTTTTTTCTGCGCAATGCAGTCAGGAATCGGCTTACTCATTCTACTAACAGCAAGTAGCAGTGCAATCACACCAGCTATTTATCTCATCTTCTTGTCTCTAATATGCATTGAACAAACAAAAAAAATACTCCTTATGTAAAGAAATATAAGATCGTTTAGATTAAACGATCTATAAACGATCTTATATTTCTTTACAGATGGAGTAAATATTAATTACTTGTTCCTCCAAAAAAAATTAAGCATCACTGAATTTGCAAATCTTTGCCCTTCCCAAATATAATCTGAATATGACACCGTTGGTTGCTCTTATTCATGCGTTTTCTTGACACTGTACTAGTTTCATCTTATCTTGATTTAATGTCAATCAAAGAAATAGCAAATGGCCTACCTGCAAAGTATCTGAGGAAGCATTGCGCACAACTCAAATCATGTTTCCTTTTTGTTTGCAGGCCTATTCTTGATGATTGCTGGCTTCTGCCAACTCCGTAAATTAGTACCAACCCTGTTCGTGGATATAGTTCTTGGATATATATTCTACAAGTTAAGTGTCCTAGCAGCAGAACTGAGAAGAAATGGGAAGGCGAACCATTTGTGTGCTCGGATACAGCTCCGTGAGTTTTGGAACTCAAACTATATTGTTTGTGTTTATTATGGAGAAGACAAATATATGAAATTTTG